AAATTTTTGAACTAAATGTAAATTTAGGGGATGATAAAAAGTTATTGCAGCATCTTTCTGAGCGTGTAGAGTAGTGCTATGTATTGCACTATCCATTCAGAAGACTCACTTGCATTATTAAAAATGGTAACAAATATAGTACAGATTTAATTGCAAATTATTTTAAACTGTTATTGTTTTATTAACCCCAAAATAGTTAATATTGCAAATAATTACATTATGGTAATAAATTAGGTATTTTGAACAATTTATTCTAAGATAGTGTTAAAATAGTACTGGAAAAAAGAAAATATCGTATTATCATAATATTATTTTTAAGGTAAATGTTAATCAAATTTTATGATTAATAACCAATGTTAAGCAAGCTTTTTTTCTGAGAGGCTGAAAGCACCACGTTAAGAAAAAGATCCTTCTTTTTGTGCATATATATCTGTTTATGTTTTAGTATTAAGTTTACTCTATCCCCAAGTCAGAACTAATACATCATAATGCTATTCTGAATACTTTTTTTCATGTTCTAAGGCTTACTCTGAGAATGGATACAAGTAATTAGTAATTTAGCCAATTTTTAGATGGAATGTTAATATAAAGTCAAACTTGTATATAGATAGAATTTATCAGAATAAGGTGAAGATTCAGAGTCCTGAAACTATAAATATTTTTGTTGTCCAATTGATACAATGAAAGGTACTTCATAGTTGTTCATTCTTATATTTACAAATTGAAGACTAATTCACAGCAGTATTTTTTTCCCCCCTTTGATTATATTCATTGCATAACTTGATTACACATTTGTCAACTTTGGACTAATTATTTTTCTACAGCTAGGGCAGGGCATTGCATCTTCTGATCGTCTTTCTTACTAATAGGATTCTGTCTGCTTCAGCAGGCAGTAATTGAAGGCTTCATGTACAAGATATAAAGAAAGGGCGGAGGAAAAAAAAGTTTTAGCCTCCATGGGCCATTGTCACTGTTTCTGGTAAGCAGTAGAACAGAAAAAGAAGAAAATTTAGCTTGAATAGAAAAATCAAAGAACAAGAAGAGCACCCGGCAGGAGAGAACGTATGTTTTAGTGCTGTTGAATTATGCGTGACAAACCCTGCGCTGCTGTAAACAAATGTCCCGATAGTGAGTGTTCAGCTGTAAATTTAGTTTCTCAAAGGGTACATTTTAAAGAGCAGATTTTGAGTGATTTACTTTGTTACTGTCTTTTCACTGGCATGGAATTTTCATAACCTTTCCCCATAAAAATACCTCTTCTGTATATTGTAGCTATCTTCTGTCTACAAATAAAGGGAAAATAACTGCTAGTCTGTCGTTAGGCTAGTCATCATTACAAAGCCTGTGTTTGGCAGATGCTATCACATTTTAGTATCTTATACTCTGTGTTTTCCCTTTATATCAAGAATAAATAAAATATTTCTGTGTAATAATTGTTAAAAAATCTTATATTCATGGAAAGTGGCCAAGAATATGTAATTGATTTTTTAACTCTTGAAAGACTGAATGACTTTTTAAAAATATACAGTAACTCATTGGTGTTGATTTAGAATTTATTTCTTAATATATCTTTCCTTTCCTACTGACAGGTACTATATTTATTTAAAAATAATCTATGAACTCCTTCTCTTTTTTTGCATGTCACATAGCTTCAGAATATTTAACATTCTTTTTAAAGAAAAAATAAATATTTGGAAAACTCAGAACAAGCAAATATATCTCACATTATTATGTTTCCAATCTGTCTTGATTTTTTAAAATTAGAAAATTATTAACAGCTGCAAATCTTCCTGTATATTTTTAATGATGTGAAATCAGGTTTAGCATTAATATTATCACAGAAAGAGAATTAGAAAGTAACTGCAGTGTTGCAGAAACAGACATCTTGAAACTATTAGTAAATACTTGGTTCTGTTTTCTGAAGGGTATTCTCATTTACTGTCTTTTTCTTCATATTCACTGATGCATCCTTTATTGCAAAAGAACCATGCTCGTAATACCATGTCTTACATTAAGAGTTGTCCATAGGACAAATTCTTTCTTTCGGACCTACAAACAACCAATTTAGAAGCTAAATTTTAATGTACTACAGTGCACTTTCCAAGACTTATTTCATTCTCTGAATTCTGATTGGTTTTATTATCTTTTTTCAGTTTTGTTTTTTTTTATTCAAATTCTAACCTTTAAGGCACTATCAGCTTTCAGAAAAAGTAAAAAATAATTACTGACCTTGTGGGGAAAAATAAGTTTCTCACAAAGAATAAATACCTACTATATAGAGTGACTAATTTTTGCTGCTGAAAGATTTTTCTAATAGCTCTCCGGTCTAAGCATTTAGTTGAGCACAACACACATTTTGGAAAATACATGTGGGCTTATGATAAGAGTAACCATATAAAGGCAATAATAAGTACTTAGTTGAAAAAACAGCTATTAACCAAACCCTTCAATGCTGATGTATTTAAAACATCTAAATAATTAGCAAATTGGGTTTACTACTAGTGTCTTCTAACCAAAAGTCAACTGCTTCATCCTTTTATAATGGTATTCAGTTTCACAGGTCATATAAGCATATTTATGTTATTAATCTTCCCTATTTTAAGCAACAAATTCCTATTTCCAAAGTTCCAAAGCAGTTCTAAACCCATTGTGTGGTTGTTCTTCTATAGACCCTTTTTTAATGGTGAAATAAGTCATCCCATTCTGTTCCAATTCTTTTTTCACTGAGCGATTCCAGATCGGTGACCATTGATACAAACTGATTAGCCATTGCTAGTTATGCATACTAACACTTTGTGTAAAATTATCCGCATATCAGATCCTTTGCGTCTTGCAAACCACATACAAACTCACGTTTTATTGATTTTACATGTTTTGTTCAGAGGTATGGAAAAGTACTATTGATCCCCTATGTGATTTTGCAAATCCACATGTAAAAATATCAGCGCAAAACTCATCTCTGATGCTTTGGGCCACCTTGGCTGAATGCTGACTTTGTATCACTTTCAGATTTTAATAAAAGAGGGTAAAACCAAGCCTTGGGGCTATGAAACACAGCAGGAGTGCCAACTACCAACCTATTTATGTGCATACTCAGGCATAATCTGCTTCTATGTTGTCCCAAGACACAACTGTTAAGTAAATAAAGTGACTAATAAGTCTATTGTTTCTATAATTATCTCCCTGTCAAAATCAACAAGAGAAATAGTGATCTTCTACATCGCAGTGCGAATAGATGAAATCATTGATATAACTAGCTAAGTAGCTAATTTTTATAGTAGTAACGTTGTTTTAGAACCTCCTATTAACGGGAGAGGTCTTTGAATGTGTCTATAATCCGGACAAAAGAAATAGATTGACCTGTGATGGGTGACATTAGAGAAGTGCCCCATGTTTAATTAGTATAATGTGTTACGAGATTTTGATATGCTTAGTTTAAAAAGAAAAAAGACAGAAATTACTTCTCGTTTAAAGAGAACCTGCTTCCTGCTTAAGTGGCTAATATTTTAATTAAGTCTGGAGTGAAGTTTTTTGAGTATCTCCTGATAAACTCCCTCCTTTATGTTGATGGTAATTAAACAGATCCCCAAGGGCTTGGGTAGGCGCTTTGCAAGGCCCATGCTAATTGTCAAACATGAGACACTGACCAGTTGGTTTGCTCTTGAATAGCCCACAGCGTGCTGTCAGCCCAGCAGTTTGATTTTTCTGTATTGTGAGCTGTTGTCAGGGCTAACTGGGTCCTATTGTGGCTGAAGATGTTGCGCAAATTGAGGCAGATGGCTCTGATTCAGACACGTGTCATTCAGAAAGAGGAGAGGAGATTGGCCCTGCAAAGTGGGGTCAGACGGGGTCACAGACCTGCTCTACACTTGTTAGTGTTTTCAAAAGCCCATGTGCAGCAACTTTGTTGTTGTCAAGTAACCACGGGGAGGAGAGGGGGGGAAGGCAAAAAAAAAAAAAAAGCATGGTGTGCTCATTAGAAATGAAAAAGAAGGTATTTTGTGCTGAGCTAAATATTATTTTGTTTCCATTGAAAGGGTTAAGAAAACAAAGACAGAGTTGACAATTTCTCCCGACTGGAAGCTGGGAATGGCCCACGGTGGCACAATGCTATTATTCTTGCATGGGCCCATTCTCACTGGATTTTCCACAATGTGTGGAAGATGGAAGATGAGGCTGTTGCCATCCTCTTCCTTCCCGTCTCTTGGGCCTGGCTGTGCATGCAGAATGAATTAACAGGATTGACAGAAGTTCATTGTGCCTAAAATGGCTTTTCAGTCAATTGTGGTGCTTAAAAGGCTAGTTTTGCTTTTAATTCCATGTAATTAGTGGGTTCTTCATGTCTTGGAATTTAGTAATGGTGCATTAGTCTTAACTTTTGTGTATCTGATTGGTTGCGGGTTGTTGGTTTTTTTAAAATTTCCTTTGTAGCATTTTTAATAATGATAAAATGTGTAGAAATATTGGCGATATTTTTATGATTAAATATTCTGTAGTTGGACTTAATTCCTGAGATGCGAGGAGGATGCAGTTTTCTGAAAGTACAACAATTTGGCTTTTTGGCAGGGTTCTACTACATTTAGCATTGTTACATTTTCTGTGGGACACCAACTAATGCTGGTTCTCCATAGAAAACTCCATACAGCTGAATTCAAGTTGCCGGTGTACACAAGTATTGCAGATGAACTGAAGAATTGGAATTTACTTAAAAATTTTATTTAAATAGACTATAATTTGTACTATTAAATACACAATTTTGCATCATACTTTTTTGTCCTTCTTAAATGCAAAAATATTTACACAGTAGTGAACAAATTATTTCTGAGGAATTTACGGAGGTTTTTATGGTTTATCCCCTGAAAAGCATTAATGAAATTGGAGGCATTTCATTATATTTGAGCTCATTTAACTTTTGCAGAAAGAAATATTAGCAGTCTTTGACCTTAAGATCCTCAGTGATTTTTTTATTTTTTATTTGTTATTTTTCCTTCCCCCTTCAGGTTTGCAGCTAAGACTGTGCACAGTGGGTCACTGATGCTAGTCACAGTGGAGCTGAAGGAGAGCTCTACAGCACAGCTCATCATAAACACCGAGAAAACAGTGATTGGTTCTGTTCTGCTGCGGGAGCTGAAGCCTGTCCTGTCCCAGGGGTAACCTGCTTACATCTGGACTTCAGAATCTGGCACACAACAAAAGTGCCTGGCATCCACTACTGCTGCCTTTCATTTATAATAATAGCCCTTCCATCTGGCAGTGGGGGAAGAATACACTCTTGACATTCTTGTCTTCTGCTTTAGAATGCTAGTGTGTATCTATCATGTATGCAAGTCCTTTCCTTTTCTGCTTGCTAACCAAAGAACATATATTTTACTGTCAGTTATCTGCGCTTTTAAATGTATTTCCCATTTGTTCTACCCTAGTCCGTCCTTCTCTGTTCCCTTCCCCCAGTACCTTTCTTCCCCGTCGATTTTTCCCCACTGTAGTGGACAAATACTAGATAATAAAGTTCAAGGCAAATCATACTGCTTGAAAGCTGAGTTAAAATGGCAGGTAGGTTCCGGCAACAGATACAACAACTACGTGGTTCAGAGAGGTTTTGTTGCATAACTGTAAAAATACAGTAGGTACAGCAAAATGGTGTTTGCTTTCTGGAAATGCTTGTAAACCTGAACTCATCTATTAAGAATGTTGTTCCTACCTACTGCCATTTTCTAAACTATTTCTGTTAAGATGCCAATAAAGTAGTTCTATGAGCAGAGGCTCCCTCTTTCTTGTTTTGACAGAGAACTGATAACGATGATCGCCAGTGTTGTAGATAACTGGTTAATTAAAGTAAATACTAACAGGGTTGGACACTACATATGCATCAGCAAACTCTTCTTGTGAAAGTCGCCAGTCTTTGTGCTCCTATTGTAATTTTCTGCTGTGCAGTTACATTTTTGATAATAAACAAAGCCAGTAACTGCCTATTTTCAAATTGTCCCACTCATAAAATACTGATTGAATTATTAGAAATGATTATTATATGAAATGATGATTATTAAACTATTGTGGCAAATACTGTCATCTAGCATAATAAAATATATTTGCAACTTTGCTTCACATTTCTATTGTAAACTGAGATTAAAATTTCTCCCACCTGTGCATAAACCAGGCCTGAGGCAAAGAGAAATTCATAACCATATCTACTGAGGAGACCAACAGCCATACAGCATTTGTTGCACCCAGTTTTCTGCCTGTAGCCTGGGTGTCACTGATGCTGACCTTCCCTTCACATTCTGATTACCTGGTAGGACTGAAGATGCTAAGCTTTGTCATTTCATATCAGTTTTCCTCACTTCAAACATGGCTTTTCCTAGTAACTTATGGCTCTGCTACAGATATTTTTGTGACCTGGAGAAGATATTTGGATAACTGTACCCTTGCTCTGTCACCAGGACCCTTGCACATCCCTTTGATGCTAAGCCATAGAATCATTGACCTGCTGAGGTTGGAAGGGACCTTTAAGATCATCAAGTCCAACCATTAACCTACCCTGACAAAACCACTTCTAAACCACGTCCCTAAGTACCACATCTACCCTTTTTTTAAATACCTCCAGGGATGGTGAATCCACCACCTCCCTGGGCAGCCTATTCCAATGTTTAATAACCCTTTCAGTGAAAAAATGTTTCCTAAAGGAGTCGTCGGGTTTTTTAGGTATTCAAGTTGCACTTCTGTGAGAAATGTAGTTCTAGGTTTTGCTAGCACTCAAAATATACTGGTACTTCTCAGATGAAGAAACAAGAGTCTTATGCCCTCAACAGAAATGTACATGTTCTTAATCAACATTTACATTATTTTCTGAAGTCCTAATCCTGCAGTAAGTTTTTTCTTGAATTATGGTTTTCCAGTGTGATGTAAAAGTTATTCAAACAGATGAAAAATTACTCATTGTAGAAAATGCCATCATCTCAGAGAAAATGCAGATTGATCTAGCTGGTATTTGATATCAAGACTCAGTGAGAAGGTGATGAGCGAAAGGTGCAGAAATACACTTCCTGAGAAAAGGCTGAACTGCAAAACATTCAGCCGTGTTTGTAAAGGAGAAAACAGACAGGAATTGTTTCTTGTACCACAATATAAATCAAAGGAAAGCATACTAATGCTATGTAATTCACGCACATTGCTGAGTAATTTCTGCCTCCCTAGAGTACTTCCTACACTTCAATAGTGAAGCTCAGAAACGTGTTTCCAAAAACATGTAAGGATATTGGGGGAGCTTCAGGTATAAATTTTTTTAACATTTTGTGACTTGGTCCACTGGTTCAATAACTCTTGATACAGGTATTTGGGCTGACAGCGCGATTTGAAAATTTATGTTGCCTTCCCCAAATAGTAAATTGGAAAACTTTCTTTAAAGACAGATATTTAAATAGTAAAAGATCTCTGCATGCAACAAAGCTCAGATCTTCAGGAACCTAAACATGAGCACATGTGCCTGTCATATTAATAGTGGAAGTTGCACTCAGCCATACTTCAGCCAGGTAGCAGCAGTTAACAGTAGTTTCTTGATTTTGCCATATATAATTTTTATTCATTTTCTTCCATACTTTTCATCATTTATAGGGGCATATTAAAGGTTATTAGGATATGAAGTAGATGACTAGTCTAAACTGCAATCTAGAATTCACTTCAGAGTGATTTGCTTGTACCAAGTAGCAGCAGCTCCTACCTCTGTTGGGAGGCTTTTCAGTCAGGAGTTGCACATTGAGAACCACCTGGCTTTGGCGAAAATCTTACCTGGGCAGCCTTGGAACGTACCTGCGTGTACGACTCAGGATGCTGGAGCATGGCATGGCTAAAGCATAGTATTACAGTCCTGGTGAGGTGGGTTTTGCTAAGATGGTTAGGGAACTGTACTGAGGTTCGTTTTAGGGAGTGGGAGGTGAGGGTTAATTACTCAGATAATGAAGGGTTTAAATGCAACAGAACCTGCAGAAACACAGGAAAATCAATAACAACTACAAACCGAAATAACATGATCATAAATAGGAAATTTTGGTATAATTTTATTAACTATTTAATCCACTCATGCCCGAGGTAAGTAAAACTCAAAGAGACTCCAAGATTGTTGTGATCTAGTCAAAGCTTTAAACCCGATGCTGCTAATTATGGATTGAGGAATTATGCAACAAGAGCAAGGGCAAACAGGTGAGACAGTTTCTGTGTAGTGAGACATTGACAGTTTACCTCATCTTTGCTACCTGGTTGTTTCCACACACACATATTCCCTCTTGTGAAGAGGAGGAGGGTTTTTTGCTTTTTTCTTCTTTTTAAAAAACTGAATTTTCAAATTCTGTTATTCCAAAATGACTCAAACCATTTGGAAAGCATAGGGTACAGGGAAGAGTTGTTATGTTACTACGGATGGCAGAATATAAACACAGGCTTGATGCACGACGGTGAAAATAACAATTTTTTTTCCTCTTATTTTCCTTTCACATTTTATGATGCTGTATAAAAGGATAATATTTTTTTTTTTTGCCCTGCATACTCTGCTTTAATTCTGGTAAGTAATTTCTGAAGAAAAATGGCAAACAGAAATGGGTCTAGAGCTAGGAACAAAATAATGGAAGATATAAATAGAATACCATGTGAAAGGATAGTGGAAATAATGAAAGTGTTTTTAGAGCAGGGACATGATACAGGATATGAAATAATAAATGGCATAGGAAAGATAAATTTGGCTTTCGTGATGATCATTTCTACTAACTCAGGAACAAGGTGGCTTTCTGTAACATTTCTAAAGCAATATATGTAAATTGGAGGAAGGAATTAACTTTTTTTTCCCCTGTTTTTAAACACAACATGTACTTAAGCTCTGGTCATCCACTGTCACAAGATAATATGATGTTTACTAAAAGTGGAACAAAACTGGAAATGTACACTGGCAAAGGAATATACAGATGTGTATTGAATATGATACAAAACCCATAAGAGCTCTAAATCCTCTTGATCTGAAGCTTTGGCTAATTACTGATATTTGGTGATAGAATGAAATCCTTTTGCACACTTTGTTTTGCAATGGTCCATTACCATAATTAGTATTAATTCTTTTTAAAAAAAAAAATCAATTACTGAACTGTCTGGTTTTGCATACAACGTCTTATATGCTTAAGTTAAAACTAACATAGCGCTTAAATTCCCTAACAAGGATTCTGGTAAGCAATGTTCAGGTAAGTTGAATCCTCCCAAGCCCTCATCTGACTTTCAGCGTCTGCATGAAACAAGCATATGAGGATTGGACTCTGTTCCCTTCATTTTCTGTCAGTCTGTCTTCCTCCTCTTCCCCATACTTTTGTTTGTTTTATCATAAAGTGTGTGTTCTTACAACACTTGCGTCTTATATTAAATGTTTTGTGGTGCAGACACCAGGCTTTGCTGTGTTTGCATAGTGTGGTTTCATTGCTGATAGGAGCCTTTGTGCACAACCCCTGGTAAAAGCAATGCTTCTATTCAGGTTATTTTCCTCTTACCTGGTATACTTGTTGTGCTTTACGTAGCACAGTCCAGTGAACCTGTTTGGAAGAGAAAGAGATGGTGAACACCACTGCATTTCCAGTCCCACAGCTAACTGGTTTTGCTCCAGAAGGTACGAGGCGAACTGCTTTTCAGTAGCGGGGCCCATGCTGTGACCATACTTCCCCAAGTCCAGATCCACTTAAATCCCTGTGTACATTCTGGTGCATATACCCATATCTTTACAAACAGTGTTATTCTAAACTCCTTTTTCTCATTGTGCACATGTAAGAGAGAGGGCAAAAATTAGTTTTGCAGGCTCCACCGCTGCTTTTCCTGTCCTCTCCAGGTCCCCGCCTCCTCTCACCCTGATGTTTCGAGCCACCATCCACATCTCCATGCCCTCCTCTGGCTCGGCCTGAACCTGTTTTTTCTCCTTGATGGGAAGGATTTAGACTAAGCCTTGCAAAAACAGCTGATGAATCACCTTTCTACTTCAAGGAAGAGCAAGAGCTGTCAGTGGGCTCGCATCCTTCTCTCCCTCCTGCCCTGTAAAAATGCTGGTGGACTTTTTACAAGGGCATGTAGTGATAGGATGAGGGGGAATGGCTTCAAACTGGAAGAGGGTAGATTTAGGTTAGATATTAGGAAGAAATGTTTCACTCTGAGGGTGGTGAGGCACTGGCATTGGTTGCCCAGGGACATTGTGGAAGCCGAATCCCTGGAGGTGCTCAAGGCCAGACTGGATGGGACTTTGAGCAACCTGGTCTAGTGGGAGGTGTCTCTGCCCATGGCAGGGAGGTTTGGAACTAGATGATCTTCAAGGTCCCTTCCAACCCAAACCAGTCTATAATTCTATGATTTAGTTGCACTCTGCGTGTGCACCAGCAATGCACAATGTGCCAGCAGTTGCTGCATCCTGTTTTGAAAGTAAATGGTATTTGGTGTGACTCAAACATCAGTTTTGAGGAAGGTTAAAGGGATGAAAGAATTACCAATTCAGTTATTTTTTTAGACTTTTTTTCCAATTCTGGCAAAAAATAGGTATCCATCCCACTGATACCTCAGCTGTCTTTCTTCAAACGTTTGCAGATCAATGGTCTAAAGAAAATCAGCAGGATGATTTGGGT